TTCGACGAAGGGTTGTCGAACGAATTTTTTCCCTTTTTCGTTTTTTCCTTTTCCCCGCAATCTTATTATCGCCGCTCGTTTTCTTAAGTTCGACACGCTCCACGCTCGGCTTCTTCGTCTCTTCTCCTTTATCATTTCGACCGTTTGCTCATCTGGTGCGAGAGAAAATGCGCTGAGAAGCGATCGACGAAGAATGTCGATGGACGAGACACATGGGGGCGGCATGGTTTCCGCAATCCTTTCCTCGATCGTGCTTCTTCTCCTGCTTGGACACACCGTGGACGCTCAGTAAGATTCTTCTCTGATTTGATCCATTCTATTCCTCTTCCCCGTGTCCCCATGCCGACGACACACCGGCCATCTTTACGGTAACCGTGAAGATGTGACGATTCCTCTTCTTCTTGATTTAATTTCTTATATATCTCGAGATTTATGGTTTCGAGGATGTGTCTTGTCGAAAGGATTTTATCAGAGGATCTTTTCCCCTTTGTTTGACAAATTTAAAGTGATAAAAATTTGATCGTTGGGAAGTAATTATTGGAAAAACAAAGACTTTCTTGCGGATGTAAAATTTCTTGGGTTTTTATGTAGAAATTTATATTATTTTCTTGGTGTAATATTAGTAATATTGAAGAGGTATCGACGAAAAGAAAGTAGAGGCAACATTAAGTTCCAGGATAGTAAATTTCTTTTATTATTTGAAATAATATTTACAGCATTACTTTAATTGTATAAATCTTCACGATGAAAAGGAACGAAGGATAAAGCACGATGAAATCACCAGAAAGAAGTTCAGTGAAATCCATAAAGTGCTGTGATTAATGTGCGATAAAATTGTTATTACGAATTAAATTAGTGATTTTTTTCAATGACAAAATAATTATTCGATAATAATTATAATAAAAGGTGTATTTGTGATTTGTGTATGTGTTTCTAACGTGTTTAAAAAAAGAAAAAAAAATAATCAACAAAATGTAATAAATGCAGAAATGTACATACAGTAGTTTCTGTGAATTTCAGTTTTTTCTCTCATTTTGTGCAAGACATGTGAAACTACCATGAAGAAAATGCGACATAATAAGTGAAACATTTGAACGTGAATTCGTCAAAATTTAATACAGTGCTAATTATACCGAAACGTGATCATTGTATCGATATAAATTCTATTTAAAATTCTTGATATTGGCGGGCATATAAAAAGTATCCTCGATTATTATTAATTTGCGTGGAAATTCGTACGAAGTTTACGTGTTCGGCTAACAAAGTGTTTGAGTTTTTGCTGAAGTTTCCACTCGAAATTTCAGGAGGAGCTTGGAATTCTTCGACCTTCTACCGGAAGATCCCAAATTATACGACAAAATGCGACCTCCAAAGAAGGATGGACAGGCGACCGTAGTTTATTTCCATGTCACTGTTATGGGTCTCGATTCCATAGATGAGAATTCAATGGTATCGTGCGAATTTCAATCTTTATCAAATTTTAATTCACGACTTTGTTCTTGTTTATCGCTTTAAAAACGAACGTAATCTTGTTAATCTTGTCACTCAGATCTTTCAATTTTTTCGTTCATTTTCCAAGAAGAAAAGAAAGAAAGAAAGAACTGAACGATCATCGATAGAGGCATTCATTAGATATTCAGAGAGAAAGTTAATAAAATAGAGATTTTCTTAGGATTGATATTTAAAAACATTTGCTTTAAAATAAAAAGCTTATTATCAATTCCATCTCATCAATTTGTATAATATTCTAGGCTTGAAAAAATTCTTTACATTCTTAAAATGAACTCCAAACACTTACTTTCATCGTACATCGTTTGGTAGTATTTAAATTTTAATGAATAATTCATACCGAATTTTAAAGTGTCAATTTTCATATATCCACTCTTTCAGACCTATGCAGCCGACATATTTTTCGCCCAAACTTGGAAGGACAACAGGCTCCGATTACCAGAAAATATGACATCCGAATACAGGTACATGAAATCATCGTGATTTAATCTAAAAAATAATTTTTGTCATTTTAAAATTCGAAGATATCGATGTATAAGTATTGAGAATTATTAAAAAAATGATTTTTCTGCAAATAAATACGAAAAGTCATTTAAATTATGTTGTTATTCTAGATTACTTGAAGTCGATTGGCTGAAGAATATGTGGCGGCCGGATTCATTCTTCAAGAACGCGAAATCAGTGACGTTCCAAACGATGACTATACCGAATCATTACTTATGGTTGTACAAAGACAAGACTATTTTATACATGGTCAAGTAAGAAGAAACGATCTATTATTTTTTCATTGAACTTTATGTTCAATGTTTATTTTAATTCCTATTTTTTATCCTTCTTTCTCCATATTTTTGTATTATTTTTCACACGAAATAACATTTCTTTTTTTTCCCTTTTTTTTATTTCAGACTAACGTTGAAGTTATCGTGCGCCATGAACTTCTTGATCTATCCTCACGACACTCAAGAGTGTAAATTACAAATGGAAAGTCGTGAGTGAATTTTTACAAATTACTTAACGTATAATTTGCTTAATCATTAGTAAACTAGATCTTTAGCAAAATGATTCATCCTTCCACAACCAGTTATCAAAGATCCTATTTTTTTTTAATCAATAGGAGATTATCAACGTATTAATGCATTTATCATCTTTTCCAATTTTCCATTCAATCGCGATTTCTCTCGCGCAATACGCATCTCGAAACAAATCAAAGATCCATCGAGAAAGCTCCATAGATGAAAAAGAAAGAAAGAAACGTCCGATATTAACGACAATCGAGTTGAATCGCGCATCTAAAAGGAGAATTTTACACTCACATTTCGAAAGCGATACCCGCATGAATTATCGTTTAGTTTTGCGGGCTGAATGTGCGATTTCACAAGGACAAAACAACTCGGTCAACAGTGTCGCACACGACGGATGAAATGATCTTCCAGTGGGATCCTGACGTGCCACTCGTCGTCGACGAGAACATCGAGCTGCCCCAGCTCCAACTGGTTAAGAATTACACGGCCGATTGCACGCAGGTCTATTCTACTGGTAAGTGTCGTGAAAAAAAAAAAGAAAGAGGAACCTCGTGCTCATTCTGTTCCTAATTAACCGTTTCAAATCTCGACACGAGATCGAGGAGGAATCGAAAGGGTTGAAAGTGAATTTGTTCTCGCGTGAATGGCCACGTTTATTTAATTGACATTTCACGTTATCTTCACATGTGTCCGTTTCAATATGGGTATAGAAACTGAAAGGAATAAATAAATAATCTGATGAACTTTGTTAAAAAAGATATCGGGATCATTGATGTTTTAAAAATTTTAAATTCGAACAATTCAACGTTTCTTATTAATTGAGAAGAATTATTAAATTAACGAAAAATCGTCCCGTTTAGGTAACTTCACTTGCCTCGAAGTAGTGTTCGTCCTGAAACGTAGACTCGGCTACTACTTGTTTCACACTTACATTCCAACCTGCTTGATCGTAATCATGTCGGTGAGTCTGGAAACTAAACGTAATTAAAAAAAAAAAAAAAATAAAGAAAACAGGAAACGTATATAACTCGAATCTTTAATTATTACCTCTGTGTGCAGTGGGTCTCCTTCTGGATAAAACCGGAAGCGGCGCCAGCCAGAGTGACGCTCGGCGTAACTTCCTTGCTGACCCTCTCGACGCAACACGCCAAGAGTCAAGCGTCCCTTCCACCTGTTTCGTATCTAAAGGCAGTGGACGCTTTCATGTCGGTTTGCACGGTGTTCGTGTTCATGGCGTTGATGGAGTATTGCCTGGTGAACATCGTCCTCGGCGACTCGGACACGCCCCCGAAACCGGCGCCACCACCTCCCCCGCCGTCCTCCAGCGGCCCCGATTCCGCCAAGCTCGATAAAATTTTCGACATCGCCACTAAGGTAACGCCTGGATGAACATCCGAACGGTTCAGACAACTTCTGTGCCTCGGGGAAAGGGAATGAAAATGAAAAGAATTGGGCAAGAAAGAAAAAGAAGGGAGTTTCAAAAAGTTACTCACCTAATTCATTATTCGAATCAATGTTTCGAATAAGGTTATATAACTTGGACTCAAAAACTTCAAATTTTAATTTTTCTTCGCATTACATCGCTCGTAAGCAGAGAGAGGAAAGATAATTGCGGCCATTTCTCGATGCGTCGCGTCATCGGTCCACGCGTTCATCTCTCCGAGGCACAGAGGGGTTGTCTGCACAGCGGCGGTTCAAGTTGTGATCGTTGTCACGCAGGAAAACGCAATGTTGTTATCCGGCCGATCGCAGAAATCGACGACCGGTCCACCGCCAGGCCCAACACCCGCACAGAAGGCGCGGATGCGTGCCCTGAACATCGATCGGGTCTCCCGCGTCTTCTTTCCTTTCCTCTTCGCCGTGTTGAACGTAACTTATTGGATAATGTTCGCCGAGTACATTTAAGCCGCCGTGGAAATCGTGGCAAACTCGAACAGACCGGAAACGTCGATGCTGGGAAAGAAGATATCGGACGGAGGAGGTGTTTCTGAAAAAGGGAGAAAGAGAGAGAAGAAAATGAATCGAAGATATGAAAAAGTTCTGTCTCTTTTCGAAGCTGTTGTATTGTTAACAGGAATGATAGAGTGGTCATTGAATTGGAATTTTTTTAAATGTTATAATGGTAAAATTAAAAGATGTGTAAATTTATCAATTATTGTTTTTTTGATCGCTTGTTTTATTTATTACGTGTATTGCAATGGTGTTGATTCAATGGCCAGGATATTGAAACGAGGATAATGGTGCAATTGCGAAGAAAGCGATGAGATGACATCTATTAAAATGTAATTAAGAACAAGATTGGCAAGGAATGTTGTTCGAGTATTTTGAAAATTTAAAAATTTCTATCTCTTTGCAATTTAATTATTTTTATTATTTTTTCCACTTCTTCAGAGAAGAGAAATACTTTTTTTCGTTATTGCGTCATTATATTTTCCATATCACCTAATGAAAAGATAAAAAAAAATTCACTTCGATTCATTGATAGTAAGAGATAATGATAAAATACTTACTTGAAGAGTATTTCAATTGTATTGTAATTGTATGTAATTGAATACAAACTGTACGACTCATTCGTCGATTTGTCGAAAGACAACAAGAAAAAGAAGCGAATAAGTTGTCGTTTTCTTCTTCGATTACAAGGGAACGAAGCAGAGAAAAGAGAAGAGCTAAAAATAATTGTATAAGGAATATGGAATTATTTGAATGAATCGTTTGATTCGTTCAAATAAATTATTTCACGATTGTTTCGAGTTTGTAAAAATTGAAAGAAATATCGAAAGTCTACTAATACTTTAAAGTCTTCTATTAAATTGTTTTAAATTTATAACTATAATAATATTGTTAAGAGATTAACGTGTTTTGTCGTAAGAGACTAATTCCCATTGATGATAATTGTCGCCGAGATAATTATCGATAAATTGGTAATCGTGTAATTGTTAATGTAAAATTGAATTAACTAGTGAATAAACAGTAAGCAGATATTGTAAGAAGATCGTTACATGTAAATTTCTGCTCGATTGTTATTGATCAAAGAGTGGATTTACTCGTAATATCATACTCGCAAATTTTAGAATTAAAAATATTTCGATATCGCGGAAATTTCTTCTCAGAAAGCTTGATATCATCTCGATGTAACGTTTGAAATTTTTGCTTTTGATGATCATGTTTTGCGAAATGATCATCATGTATATTACACTACTGCTACGATATTAAAATTATAAAAAGAAAAAAAAAAAGATATAAAAAAAATGCAAAAGAAGAGAGAAAAGTGAAATACACGTATATCTTCCGAGAAATTGGAAGAAAATATACTAACTAAAGTTGTTATAGATTCAAACTTTTAAACTTAAACTAAATTTTTTTTAGCCGAATCTTATTAAATTCACGAAAGTGAAAATGAAATGTAGACTATGTGTAACATAGTCAGGTTTTTGAAGAAGAAAGGAGGGAAAAAAAGCAACGGAGCATTAAAAAAGCTCAGAAAAATATAGAAAACGGAATGGACGAAGTGTAAAGTAAAATAACTTTTAATTAAAACCTTCGTATCAACGTGTGTAGATATTAAAAGATAATTTGAATTAAATTGGGCTGTGTTAATAATGAAGCGAACGAAAATTATTTTTTAGATGTAATGTTATCACTATAAGTTTATCAGAATATTTAAAATTTATTCTGACTAACGATTGTCGAATTGTTAAAAAAGATACATTTAAAAAATAACAAATTCTACGTATAAAGAAAAGATTATCTATTATTTGAAAATAATCAATGATCTTTCAATTTCAATGATCTTGGATTTTACATAGCTAATTCAAAAGCTTTAATATTATGCGTCGAATGAAACGCACTTGTACAGTAAATAGATATAGCTGAATACTTGTTTCGTTTTAGAAAACGTAGTACAAAACTATATATTTGAGAATCCGGCCGAACTGTCATGGCGTTTACAATTAAGCGCGCCATATTTATTTTATTCATTTGTTTTTTTCGACACGAGGGATGCCCAAATTTTTTAACTTTCACAAAATTTTATGATTCGTTCGTTTGAATGATACTTATCTGTACTATAGATCATAAGTTTAATTGTTAATTACTGCCTTTATTAGTTATAGTTTGTTGTATAAATATATTATTAAAGATAAAGTAATTTATATAGATTAAGTGTAATATGATTTCTTTAAAGGTTAATTAATTATATGTTGGTAATTTGGGATTAAACTTTTCTTTTGTTATATATATAAATTTAAAAATAGCATGTATCTCTAAATTACAAGTATTTGCCATTTATGTATATTATATTTTAATGCAAACGATTTATTTAATGAAAACAATAAGATATATACATGTATAACAATAATACACGAAAAGTGTAAATAAAAGTGTAAAAATATGGTGTAATGAATTAAGAGTACGTGTAAAATAATATAAAAAGTTGAAAAAAATATGAGCAATTATTTTAATTAAAATAATTTTCTTTCTTTGAATGACGAATGAATGTATGAATCGTCGATATTATTTCTATAAAATAATTCTTTAAGATGATATCAAACTTATGATCGATAGTATACATAAGAATATCGTTTAGATTTATATAAATTTTCGAAATATTTTAAATGTATTCGTTTATTTAACTTCCAATAAATGTAGAAAAATGTAAATATAAAAACAAAAATATAAAAATTATTATCAAACGAGTTTAATTTATGTTACAGTTAATACTAATTTAACGTGTAATGTAAAATAATTATTTTTCTTTCCATAAACAAAAAAATTAACTCTACTTTATACTCAATTAATAATAAAATTTATTTAATATTCATTAAAAAAAAATAATTATAATCAATAATCAATTTTAATTACGATATTAATTTTGTTTTGAATAATTTAAAATGATTGAAATAGAATGTTTTAGATAATAAATTATGTTATATTGAATTAATAAATTTTTTTTTTAATATTGCATTTATTTCTTACGATATAGCGACTTATTATATTTTTCAATGGAAAATAAAGAACATTGTTACAATTATTTTTGTATTTTAATTAATAAAATAAATAAAATTTTAGCCAAAAATAAAGAATTCTTTATTAAAAATAAAGACATTCAATCGATATGTTAGACGAAGAGAAGAAATAGATAGAAAAGGACAGAGATAGGATAAAAATATTGAAATCAGCGCCATCTTCAGTGTGCCGCAAATGAAACTCACGAATAAAGGACAGAAGATAACAGGAAAAAGATAGAGATAGAATAAGAATTGAACAATGGCGCCATCTCTTAGAGAAGAAAGATAACTCTTTCATTTGTAGGATAAGGAATATTCAAGAGATGTCGCCACATGTAATTTTTACTCTACTTTATCTTACTTTGTAAAATTTTAGCTAAAATTAAAACAATCTCTATTAAAAATAAAGATATTTAATTTTTTAATCAAGATGTTAATTTTATTTC